GCCCCAGGATAGGAAGAGAGAGGTTTAGTGTGAGGGCTGGAGATCGGGTGACCCGAGAAATAATGACGGTGCGAACTATACACGTATCCAAGAACACCGTCGATCACGTAATTAATGCCGTCTCCAGGGTCTGGACTCGGGAGACGGCATTAATTACGTGATCGACGGTGTTCTTGGACATGTATATAGTTCGCCCTCCAGTAGTATCTTTAGTTTTATGCAATACTTTTACAAATACATCTGCATTTAGTTGAATGATTTCGCAGCAGTGTAAGTCAGTTATTTCATTACAAAGTAATTTATTCAATTAATTTTACATATCGAGATTCTTGATTATTAATAATTATTTATTGTTTATAGTTTTTGGATTTTACCACCAACCATCAATGATACTAAAGAAAATGGTTATGGGAAATTTTGCAACAGAGAAGGTTGATGGAGAGATGATAAAGGCAATCGATTTTATGGTGAAACAGGTATAAATCTTTCCTTTTTTGCAATTGATGAAAACTAAGAGAAACATATACAGAATGTTTTGTTTAAAAAATTATTTTTAATCCTATTTATATCCTATATATATCCTATTTATATCCTATTTATATTTTAATCCTATTTATATATTTTTTCCCATTTTTAGCTGGAGAGCTTAACGCAACCTGAATTAGCATTTCGTTTAACAATGAATTGCATAAATTGTTATGTACAACCTCAAAAGATATGTCATTTATATAACGATAATAGATGTATTTGATGAATATGCTTTATCAAATGCTGTTAGGGAAGAAATATATAAATGTTATCCGAATGCAAAATTAGCACATTTGAAAAAGCAGTGGGAATTTTCCATACTTATTTATAAATATGGAATAAAAAGCATTTATATTTTAATTCTTTTAATGTATTAAAAGAATTTTGTACGATTCAAAATAAATATCCTTAAATGATTACAATTATTATTGTTATTCTATTATTATTATTCATTACAATTAACAATGATAATTATTGTTTTTTATACATAATGATATAATGATCAGATAATATGCATGAAGCTGTATCCATGTAGTTCAATATAATTTTTTGTGAATGCTAGTATTTTAATTTATGAGATGAGATCAAACTTAGCGAGATAAAGATTTATTGTCTACTGGATATACTAAGTTATATAATGGTATATTATCTTACTACTAAGATAAGATAATATATCTTAGTATATCAGTATCATTATATAACTTAGTATATCCAGTATACACAATAAATCTTTATCTCGCTAAGTTTGATCTCATCTCATAAATTAAAATACTAGCATTCACAAAAAATTATATTGAACTACATGGATACAGCTTCATGCATATTATCTGATCATTATATCATTATGTATAAAAAACAATAATTATCATTGTTAATTATAATGAATAATAATAATAGAATAACAATAATAATTGTAATCATTTAAAGATATTTATTTTGAATCGTACAAAATTCTTTTAATACATTAAACCTCAACATTAATACTGATAATAAGATATTATATATTATATCACAGTAATTATATCATTAATGAATAGAAATTATAATGATTATAATCATTATAATTTCTATTCATTAATGATATAATTACTGTGATATAATATATAATATTTTATTATTAATGATTATTATTATTGTTATTCTATTATTATTATTATAATTTAATAATATATAAGCACAAAATAAGCAGAAGTTGTATGAATTTTATTAAATAGAAATTATATCTAATAAAAACAGAAATTATATCAATGTATATGAATACAATTTTTTGATTATTAAGGACCGATTTTTCCAACTTCTTGGTAAGTTTTACTCGACAGGTAGCATATTTTCGTCTCTTTTCAGATAAGTTCTAAAAAAGAGACGAAGATAGACTATCTATCGGGTAAAATTTACCAAGAAGTTGGAACAACCAGCCCTAATACTAATAAACAGAAATAGTGAAAGTAAACATTAAATGTAATTATGCAAGCAAAAATTATAAGAAATAAACATAAACTTCAAATTTAATCATTATCGTGTAGTCCTCGTTTGGTAGTTTTCTCATTGTGCCACTGTCTGCTAAAATCAATTAAAAAAAATAATGTCATTAATATTGTTGTATTTATAAAATAAAGAATTTTTTAAATATTTTGTAATGACAATTTTTATTACTTTCTTGGTCTTGCTCGTCTGCCCCAATTATAGAATTTTTCATGAAGGTAAAAATATACTTGATGGACACTACACAAACATTGTACGTGCTAAAGGTACTGAATGGCAATTAATAAATGATTTAGTAGTACAAAAGTGTAGTTGGCCTCGAAGTGCTAAAAATGCATATATACTTTTTGCAGAAAAAATATAATTTTTACAAAAAGGTGTGATATCCCTCTAAAAAAACCTTACAAAGGTAAAAAAAGTACGCCAAGTACATAAAAAATATTCTACCATATGCAATAAATTTATATTTAATATATTTAATAAAAATATCCCTAAAAATAGTTTACAGAAATTTTCCCTAAAAAAATTGTTGTCCTAAAAGAAAAACAAAACTAAATATGAAATCAATAATTAACTAGCCAAGTACATTGAAGCAATTCATAGAGATTTGTAATTTAAAATATGAAATATAATGATATATAATGATATATAAAAATACATTATTATCCAAATTTAAATAAATATTTGTACAATATATGAAATAGCACTAATATATTGCGAATTTTATCATAAACATAAATAATAAGTCATAAAATTATTTAACCTTTACAATAACATTGATTACATTAATCGGCAATTTTGAATTTAGAAGTGTCTCGAAAAACTAATCGATTTGTTTCGAGATCATCAAGTTTTACCAAGTAAATCCGGAACTAAAGAAATTAAGAAAAGTTACATACAAAAACTTAATTCAGATAGCATTATAATATATTTATTATTAATAAATATTTAATTTTGAAATTAATTCTCTCTTTTACCAAGTAAACTTGCAATTGAAAAAGTTAAAAGCAAAATAAAAAAAAACTTGGCGTGCTCTCGTCGTATCTCATAATTCACATAATTTTATTTTAGTAAATATTTAAAATTAAGATTCACAAATTATATTCCTATAATTATTAATTACATATCTGTAATTATAATATTTACTAATCATAACAATATGAATATTATAATGCGGCGAGAGCACGCCAAGTTTTTTTTATTTTGCTTTTAACTTTTTCAATTGCAAGTTTACTTGGTAAAACTTAGAATTAATTTCAAAATTAAATATTTATTAATAATAAATATATTATAATGCTATCTGAATTAAGTTTTTGTATGTAACTTTTCTTAATTTCTTTAGTTCCGGATTTACTTGGTAAAACTTGATGATCTCGAAACAAATCGATTAGTTTTTCGAGACACTTCTAAATTCAAAATTGCCGATTAATGTAATCAATGTTATTGTAAAGGTTAAATAATTTTATGACTTATTATTTATGTTTATGATAAAATTTGCAATATATTAGTGCTATTTCATATATTGTACAAATATTTATTTAAATTTGGATAATAATGTATTTTATATATCATTATATATCATTATATTTCATATTTTAAATTACAAATCTCTATGAATTGCTTCAATGTACTTGGCTAGTTAATTATTGATTTCATATTTAGTTTTGTTTTTCTTTTAGGACAACTATTTTTTTAGGGAAAATTTCTGTAAACTATTTTTAGGGATATTTTTATTAAATATATTAAATATAAATTTATTGCATATGGTAGAATATTTTTTATGTACTTGGCGTACTTTTTTTACCTTTGTAAGGTTTTTTTAGAGGGATACATTATATTTAAAAAATACGACTTATATTTAACACATTATGCTGTTACAAACTTTCTCTTCAATGGGCTTAAATGTTATTGTGATTTATAAATTTTTAAAAAATGAAATCTTTTATCCCTGCAGATTTAAATTTTCTTTAATAATGCGTGCCATCTTCGAATATCATAACTCCATAACCCTTCAACAGACATACACAATGTCAATATTATATTTCAATTATCAATATAATTTATATCTTCAATGTTTCTTATATTAAGAAGAGATTCGTGAATGTATAGTCACCTTAGGACATCTTGCGTAAAAGCTCCATCATAATAAATGCCATCAAGTGTTACAATTAAACCATTGCCATGTTTCAAATCGTTATTCCATAATCCAAAATATTATTTTTCGCCTGTAACATCATTGAATAATAATTTCGATATTGTAATTTTAATTTATCCCAAAAATCATATCAGATTATTATTATATTATATATTATATTTATTTCCAGGACCATGTTATATTTTGTTTTTTTGTACCTGTCATGATATCATCCGTTATTCCACAGCCTTGTTTAACACCAGCAGCATTCTGCAATATAGATGCAACTAATGCCATAAATAAATGATCTTCTTTTTTGACACCATGCATGATCATGAGATAATCCATCTTTAAAGTATCTTTTATAAAAATTTCCATTAATGTATCTAAAATATTGCATATAATTAATGTTTTACGAGAATATAATAAAATAAATTTTTTTACATTATGTTATATGACATATAAAAGATTTATATATATATATATATATACAAGTATACGTATATTCGCGTTACGTGCGTTATTTATTTCTGCAGCACACATATATATAAAATGCATTTTTTAGTCATGACTTTAAAAAGTGCCGATTTAAAGAAAAATGATTTTCCTGTTAGTGGCTCTGAAAAGTGCCGATATAAAGCGAATCAAGCGGTATTCCATCGTAAAATAATTAAAATGGCACTTTTCAGTGCTTATTTAAAAGCCAATGAAAAGTGCTATTTGACATTGAAAAATGCCGTTTTTTTATGTCTTCATATCAGGTCACTCCGCTTCTGCTTTTTCTTCTTTTTTCAATCTGCAATATTAGGAAAAACGTATATTGCAAGGTGTTGCTGAACAGGATAAATATTTCTGCACATACGCATGCGCAGAAAAATCCAGCCCGTCCAGCAACACTGTGCAATATACGTTTTTCCTGCAATGCCTGTAACAAAGTTGAAAAAATAAATCGATTATTAATATTGCAAAATGTAAATGATAAATTAGAAAATAAACTGCTTAACAATGATATGTTCAAATTTTCTAACAAATTTATATATGTAATATATATATATATATATATATATATATATATATATATAATCATTGTCAATCGGTGAACAATATACGGGACTAAATGTTATATAAAATATGTATGTTATAAAAGATATATGTATATTCCTACAAAACTGACCTAATTTTCTTCTGTTCCTTCTGATTGTGCTATCTCATCCTCGTCCTCGTGTTCGTTGTATTCGTCGTGTTCGTCGTTCCACAGATCATGTGCTCTTTTATTTTGATGGCCTCTTTGTGCACGATCTAAGTTGTTACGGACTTTATTTCTGTTTCTTTTTTTGGCTGTTCGCACAGCATCTCTCATATACATTTGGAATGTAGCCCGCATCGGCTTTTCAAAATTTTTATTTTCGCATACAGCATCTGCAAAACATTGTATTAAAATATCATTGATAACTTAAATTTAGTATCAGTATAATAATATCATACCATAAATAGCTTTAACCAAGCGGGTATTAAATAATGGCCGTTGATTTTCACGACCAAACCAAGTGTATGAAGTCATTAAGCGATCTTGAAAAATCTCTTTTACGCATAAATGTATGCTCTCTTTGGCATTGAAGCCACCAATAAAAATCAAATAATTCACCTATTTAAAAAATATTGTTATTTATATTTCTATTTATATATGTGTCTACGTTTAGTTTACTAAAGTTTATTATACATAAGTATATATGATAAACTTATTTGTTTCACATACCAATGTCATATATTCTTCATCATTAGCAGTTTCAAATTTTTCAACATCCGCTATTGATGATATTGGTAAAAATGCTGGCTTTTCAGGTGTATGCTTTCGGCTTCTATTGCTCGTCTGCTGTAATATCTTGTCCAATTTCTCATGTATCTTTCTGTAAAGATAATATAGATAAATAATTAGATTACATAATAAATATAAATAATATACACATAGGTCAGTATTTAGAATGCACTTACAAAGATATTAGCGTGTTGTTATTCAATAAAAGAATCTGTATTATGTAATACAGATTCTTCTATTGAATAACAACATGTTAACACTTTTGTGTGCGTTCTGAATACTGACTATAATATATCTAAATAGTATATGTATCATGTTTAGATATAAAATAAATGATATTTAGTGTTTATATGTACATATATGTATAATGTGCTTCAAAACTTACTTAATTTCCGAAGCCAATTGATCCATTCTTCCATGTATTGCTCTGTGAATATTTATTTGCATATACAAGTATAAGTTATATATATTTAGTTCAATGTATGTATATTTAGATATTTATAAAAAATTTTCTGCTTAATTCTATTATCGTACTCAATTTCCGGCTTAACATTGTAAAAATCTCCTGTAGTTTGTGATGATGGTGGTACAGAACTTAGACGATGACTGTCATTTGGCCAGATGTTGAAAGGCTGAAACTTAGGGTCATATAGTGTATTCAATCCACTACGAATATGTTGTGTATGAGTAGATGCATGTGGATCGTGTGTGAATGTTTGTGTTGTATTATAATTTTGTGGTGCATAGTTTAATTGTTGTAAACTATTGTTAGAATGTGTTTGTGTCGTGTGATTGACATTTAACAGTTGTGTGTAAGTTATTGGTGCATGTGATGTGACACTGGGACTGAATGTTTGTGTTGTTTGAGTAAAAGGTTGTGTGCAAAATAAATGTGTTGTGTCATTGACATGTGGTGTATTACTGATATGTTCCTTATAATTGTTAATTGACGATTGTGTATAAGTAAGTGATTGATCGGGATGAACATGCATAACTCTATTAGGAGAATCATTTTCTAATACTCCCCGTAACTCAGCGACATCGTCATCTAATTGGCTGCTCTGTTGTTGCTCCATCGGTGTTTTTCTTCCTGAACTTCTTTCTACTTCCCTTTCCTCTGAAGATGTCGTTTGATATCGCGGTTTATGGATGTTCTGACGTTTGGGGCGATCCGTCATTTTTCCTATAAATATATATTATACATATCATATAAACAAACATACACACACACACACTCCTATATATATATATATATATATATACGAGTATATTAGAAATCATACAATTTTTGTCAAAAACGTTTTTCTCTAAAATGCTTAGTTTTTGAATGAAAAGAGGTGTACGGTTTCTAATGACATATTGATTTGTAGTTATCCGTTATTTTTGCAATAAGAGTAGCAAAGAAGTTTGAAGGATCTGGAATATCTATATGGTAAGCAAAGAGGACCGTCTAATTTTAATGAAATATGACGGGGGTGATGGCGGGTTCTTTGCTCATTTATTTAGAGATGTTTAACATATAGTACAAAAAAGAGTGATATCCCTAAAAAATTACCCTTTTAAAAAAAAGGTAAAAAAAGGTGCTAAGTCCGCGTAAAAAACAGTATATGTATTTGCAAAATAGTGTATTATTAACTGTAGAAAACTACTGTATTGTATATCCTACAAAAATAATGATATCAAAAAAGTTGCGCTAAGTGAAAATAAAAGCTTATAAAAATACTTTAACCAAAAAAAGTTATACAAAATAGCTGATTTAATTTTCTACATTATATCCTAGAAAAATAATGATATCCAAAAATTACGCTAATTGAAAATAAAAACTTAAAATAATTTAACTAAAAAAATTGTACAAAATAATTGTTTTAATTTCATACAAATAATATTAAAAAGTTGCGCCAACTGAATAAAAATTTTTACTATAAAATAGACATATTTCTTTTTTATTTTCAATATTAAAAGAAAAATGATATTAAATGAATTGTAATATATCTATTATAAAAAATCGAATTGAAAATATGAACAATCATATACATTGCAATAATCATATGCATATATCCTGAAAAGTTTAATTAAAAAAAAAAAAAGAAAATGATAATACAAAATACAAAATTAAAAATTATTAAAAAAGTTAAAAATTAGAAATTAATAAATAAAAAATAAAAATTTATATAAAAATTAAAAATTAATACATATAAAAAAATTTTAGTTAAAAAACTTAGCGCTGCTAATTTCATTAGCACATTGTTCAGCGTAGCAGCGCTAAGTTTTTTAACTAAAATTTTTTTATATGTATTAATTTTTAATTTTTATATAAATTTTTATTTTTTATTTATTAATTTCTAATTTTTAATTTTTTCAATAATTTTTAATTTTGTATTTTGTATTATCATTTTCTTTTTTTTTTTTTAATTAAACTTTTCAGGATATATGCATATGATTATTGCAATGTATATGATTGTTCATATTTTCAATTCGATTTTTTATAATAGATATATTACAATTCATTTAATATCATTTTTCTTTTAATATTGAAAATAAAAAAGAAATATGTCTATTTTATAGTAAAAATTTTTATTCAGTTGGCGCAACTTTTTAATATTATTTGTATGAAATTAAAACAATTATTTGGTACAATTTTTTTTAGTTAAATTATTTTAAGTTTTTATTTTCAATTAGCGTAATTTTTGGATATCATTATTTTTCTAGAATATAATGTAGAAAATTAAATCAGCTATTTTGTATAACTTTTTTTGGTTAAAGTATTTTTATAAGCTTTTATTTTCACTTAACGCAACTTTTTTGATATCATTATTTTTGTAGGATATACAATACAGTAGTTTTTTACAGTTAATAATACACTATTTTGCAAATACATATACTGTTACGCGGACTTAGCACCTTTTTTTACCTTTTTTTTTAAAGTATATTATACGTCAAAATTATTGATTTAATTAAGTTTTTATCATTACATATTTACTATTATAGATTTCATTATTATTGCATTATTATTTATTATAAAGTAAAATTTTGTCTCACGTATGAAGAATCAAAGAAAATTTTAGAAATTCAGATTTAATTAAAATAAAACATGCTGCAATTCCGTCATTGTATTAGATTTCTATCTTAAACAAAAGAAATTTAAAGTGAAATTTAGCCATTACTAGGTTTAAAGAGAAAAAAAAGAAGTTAAAAATTCGGAAACTAAAACAGAGAGAGAGATATATATACATATATATATATATATATATGTGTGTGTGTATATGCTGTATATATTTTATACTATATAAATGTCAATTTATTTTTTCTGAATAAAAAGTGTGTGCGTGCGTGCGTGCGTGCGTGCGTGCGTGCGTGCGTGCGTGCGTGCGTGCGTGCGGTGCGTGCGTGCGTGCGTGCGTGGCGTGCGTGCGTGCGTGGTGCGTGGGCGTGCGTGCGGTGCGTGCGTGGGCGTGCGTGCGTGCGTGCGTGCGTGCGTGCGTGCGTGGCGTGCGTGTGCGTGCGTGCGTGCGTGCGTGCGGGTGCGTGCGTGCGTGCGTGCGTGCGTGCGTGCGTGCGTGCGTGCGTGCGTGGCGTGCGTGCGTGCGTGCGTGCGTGCGTGGGCGTGCGTGCGTGCGTGCGTGCGTGCGTGGCGTGCGTGCGTGCGTGCGTGCGTGCGTGCGTGCGTGCGTGGCGTGCGTGCGTGCGTGCGTGCGTGGCGTGGGCGTGGGGGGGCGTGGGGGCGTGGGCGTGCGGGGGGGGGGGGGGGGGGGGGGGGGGGGGGGGGGGTGCGTGCGTGGCGTGCGTGCGTGCGTGCGTGGCGTGCGTGCGTGCGTGCGTGCGTGCGTGCGTGCGGTGCGTGCGTGCGTGCGTGCGTGCGGTGCGTGCGTGCGTGCGTGCGTGCGTGCGTGCCGTGCGTGCGGGGGGCGTGGTGCGTGCGTGCGTGCGTGCGTGCGTGCGTGCGTGCGTGGCGTGCGTGCGTGCGTGCGTGCGTGCGTGGCGTGCGTGCGTGCGTGCGTGCCGTGCGTGCGTGCGTGCGTGCGTGGCGGTGCGTGCGTGCGTGCGTGCGTGCGTGCGTTGCGTGCGTGCGTGCGTGCGTGCGTGCGTGGGCGTGCGTGCGTGCGTGCGTGCGTGCGTGCGTGGCGTGCGTGGCGTGCGTGCGTGCGTGCGTGCGTGCGTGCGTGCGTGCGTGCGTGCGTGCGTGCGTGCGTGCGTGCGTGCGTGCGTGCGTGCGTGGTGCGTGCGTGGGCGTGCGTGCGTGCGTGCGTGCGTGCGTGCGTGCGTGCGTGCGTGCGTGCGTGCGTGCGTGCGTGCGTGCGTGCGTGCGTGCGTGCGTGCGTGCGTGCGTGGCGTGCGTGCGTGCGTGCGTGCGTGCGTGTGCGTGCGTGCGTGCGTGCGTGCGTGCGTGCGTGCGTGCGTGCGTGGCGTGCGTGCGTGCGTGCGTGCGTGCGTGCGTGCGTGCGTGCGTGCGTTGCGTGCGTGGCGTGCGTGCGTGCGTGCGTGCGTGCGTGCGTGCGTGGTGGCGTGCGTGCGTGCGTGCGTGGTGCGTGCGTGCGTGCGTGCGTGCGTGCGTGCGTGCGTGCGTGCGTGCGTGGCGTGGGCGTGCGTGCGGGTGCGTGCGTGCGTGGTGCGTGCGTGGGCGTGCGTGCGTGCGTGGTGCGTGCGTGCGTGCGTGCGTGCGTGCGTGCGTGCGTGCGTGGCGTGCGTGGCGTGCGTGCGTGCGTGCGTGCGTGCGTGGACGTGCGTGCGTGCGTGCGTGCGTGCGTGCGTGCGTGCGTGCGTGCGTGCGTGCGTGGGGGGGGGGGGGGGGGGGGGGGGGGGGGGGGGGGGGGGGGGGGGGGGGGGGGGGGGGGGGGGGGGGGGGGGGGGGGGGGGGGGGCGTGCGTGCGTGCGTGCGTGCGTGCGTGCGTGCGTGCGTGCGTGCGTGCGTGGCGTGCGTGCGTGCGTGCGTGCGTGCGTGGCGTGCGTGCGTGGGGGGGGGGGGGGGGGGGGGGGGCGTGCGTGCGTGGCGTGCGTGCGTGCGTGCGTGCGGGTGGGCGTGCGTGCGTGCGTGGCGTGCGTGGTGCGTGCGTGCGTGCGTGCGTGCGTGCGTGCGTGGCGTGCGTGCGTGCGGCGTGCGTGC